GCTGGTCTTGAACTCCTGACCTCAGGTGATCCACCTGCCTCGGCCTCCCAAAGTGCTGGGATTACAAGCATGAGCCACCGCGCCCGGCAAGAAAACACTTTCTTTTTTTTTTTGAGACAGAGTCTCTGTTTACCAGGCTGGAGTTCAGTGGCACAATCTCAGCTCACTTCAACCTCTGCCTCCTAGGTTCAAGCGATTCTCCTGCCTCAGCCTTCCTAGTAGCTGGGATTACAGGTGCATACCACCACTCCTGACTAATTTTTGTATTTTTAGTAGAGACAAGGTTTTACCATGTTATTGGCCAGGCTGGTCTCGAACTCCTGACCTCAGGTGATCCGCCTGCCTCGGCCTCCCAAAGTGCTGGAATTATAAGCGTGGGACACCGCACCCGGCCAAAGAAAACACTTCCAACACAGCTTTGGGTTATGAACGATCCCGGCTGTGCTTCTCTAATCTTGCACAGGTTTCTTAACTCGTATGGGCTTCAGTTTCTTTGGAAGATGCGTTCTTTTTGCAGAGTTGAGGGGTGTGTTTGGTAAGAGCAGAAAAAATGCTTGTCCAGGGACTGGCGCTTTGTAGACACTCCTGGCCATTGGTTCCCCTCCTTTTAGTTCTGAGTCCACATGGTGTTTGCAATAACCCCGCAGCTTCCAACGCATGTTTACCCACATTGCCTTAGTTGATCTCTCCTAATAGCTTTGAGAGCCATAATCTCTCTTTTTCAGATGAAGAAACTAGGGCCCCAGAATAATCGGGTGGTTGGTGAGGAGCCTCTGTTTGAACCTTTTAACTTCCAATCCCATATTCTTTTATATGACAGTATATTTATCTGAAATATACTGAAATAAGTCACTTTTATTCTAAGAGTCTTCTGATGAGGCCTGTGTTTTAGAAGTCTGGGATCTGTGAAGATTTCCCACGTGCAGAATCTCCTGGCATTACCATTTGGTGTGTTAATTTTTATTGTTTTTATTTTTTATTTTTTTATTTTTTTTTGAGACGGAGTCTTACTCTGTTGCCCAGGCTGGAGTGCAGTGGCACAATCTCGGCTCACTGCAAGCTCCACCTCCCGGGTTCACGCCATTTTCCTGCCTCAGCCTCCCGAGTAGCTGGGACTACAGGTGCCTGCCACCATGCCCAACTGATTTTTTGTATTTTTATAGTATTTTGTATTTTTAGTAGAGACAGGGTTTCACCATGTTAGCCAGGATGGTCTCGATCTCCTGACCTGTGATCCGCCCGCCTGGACCTCCCAAAGTGCTGGGATTACAGGTGTGAGCCACCGTATCCAGCCTGTGTTAATTTTTAAACATGGTAGACAGAGATAATAAGGGTAAAATATTCCTTGGAAAGATGCAGGTCTGGGAAGCCAGTAGGGGATGCTGAGCGGTCTTTTGACTGACTGGACGCTTCCTTTCTCGCCTTTTGAGGTGGTGTGGGCCCTGCAAGATCCTGGGGCCAAGGTTAGAGAAGATGGTGGCCAAGCAGCACGGGAAGGTGGTGATGGCCAAGGTGGATATTGATGACCACACAGACCTCGCCATTGAGTATGAGGTATGCATTGCCAGGGGGTTGCCACAGGGCAGCCAGTGTAGGGGTGTTGGGCCCAGGGGTAGCTGGTGTAGGAGATATCTTGGGGAGCACCAGGTAGCCAGTAAGCAAGGTGTCTTGGTTTTTCCAGAGCTTTTTTTTTTTGAGACGGAGTCTCACTGTCACCCGGGCTAGAACGCAATGGTGTGATCTTGGCTCATTGCAGCCTCTTCCTCCCAGGTTCACGTGATTCTCTTGCCACAGCCTCCCGAGTAGCAGGGACTACAAGCGCACACCACCACACCCGGCTAATTTTTTGTATTTTTAGTAGAGACAGG